TTCAGGATATTTCTAAAGATGATTTTCTTGATAAAATTGAACCATATAATATGCTTTTTCCTAGGACTTTATGGAAATCTATTTTGCAATCTCATTTACACCCTGATAGACAACAAACTTTAAATTTATTACCATCAAGAATCTCAAAATTTAAATCATTGACAATTAATCAAAACCTTATTTTGCTTTTTGCAAGTTTGATTGATAGAAAAAGTCCACCATATACCTCATTCAGGGAAGTCAAATATGAATTTAAACTCCTATATTGTAGTAGCAGGGATGGTTTAAATGCTGCTACATTTCATCAAAAATGTGATAATATCAAGAAAACTCTTGTAGTTGGCAAAATACAAAATTCTGAGCAAATAATTGGTGGTTATAATCCACTAGATTGGAATGTAGATGGTAATATAAATAAAAATACAACTGAAAGCTTTATATTCAATATAAATAATAGAAATAATATTAATACTGCACAATTTAGTTATGTTAAGAGTAACAAGTGTCAATTTGCAATTATGTGTTATCCTAATCATTTACCAATTTTTGGTTGTACTGGTGGTGGTAATAATGATATTTGGTTTCGAATAGATAGTAGAGTTCATAGCGTTCCAAGAAATTATACCAATATCAATATAACACATGGTAGTAGATTTGATGAATTGGAAGTTTTCCAAATAATTTGTAACAATTCAACGTGATATAATTATTTGTTGTGAAACATGTAACATTTAATTTTAATAACATAACATATGATTAGTTTATTTGTAACATTCATTATTTTGCGTTGTTTTATTTATCTTATATCTATGTCCTATAATCATCTGGATAGATTGATAAGTTTATTATATTTATATTATTATTTATATTATATTTATATTAGTTTATATTATTATTTATATTATCAATCTTATGTATTTCTTATAAAAAGGACATCAATTTAAGTTAATAAAGATAACTTGTAATTTTACAACAATTAAATTATTTAATTTGTTTAAATAAATCATTTAAACATTTGAACATTTACAACTTGGTAGCAGCAGACATTTTATATTCATACACACATATACATATACTAACACTTTCACATATATGCACACACATTTACATTATTTCCTTTAACACACAAAATGACAGACATCAATAATTTGTTAACTGCCTTGACACATTTAGTTCAATCACAACAACAATTGACTCAAGCATTGGGATGGCAACAACCACTAAGTGCAGGAAACAACCCAAGGATTAGTGTTAAAATTCCTAGTTATAAAGGAGAATCCAAGGAAAATGTAGTAGCTTGGTTGTTACAGGTACAAACTATTTTTCAAGCACAAGGAATTGATAAAGATGCTGCACAGATCAATTATGCTGCTACAAGATTAGAAGCTGCTGCACTACATTGGTATCTTAATCAAGTTATGGCTGCAGGGAAAATGCACCCTTTGATGATCGGAATGCTTTTGCAACTGCAATATGAAAAGCTTTTCAGCCTCCAAACTACTAACATCACCTCCACCAACAACTCAAATGATTGAAGCAAACAGGATCAGTGCAAGAGTATGGATCACGATTTTGTAACATAGTGGAACAAATTGAAAATATGAATGAAATTGACAAAGTAACTTACTTTGTAGAAGGACTTAAATCAGCTACTCAAATGGAAGTATCATATCAAGTGCCAAATACTTTTGATGAAGCTTGGGCATTAGCTATATGTTTTGACACAGCAATATTTGGTACTGCAAGCATGCAATTTCAAACACAGCTCATGATGTGTCCAATAAATATATAAGATAAGATAAATGTAAAAGTCCAATATATAAATCTCCCTGTATCTGCACACAGCTCAGGGTTCTCTATACTCAATACCAGGTAAGGTTGCCTGTCAAAATCTGCTTAGCTTGATGCTGAAAGGTAAAACCTCATACATAGTGCCAAAAGTGCCAAAGTGCCAAAATGCCAAAACTGACAAAAATGCCAAAAAATGGCAAAACTGTCCAAAAATGCCAAAAATGTTGAGCCAAAATGTCAAAAAAGTCAAAAATTCAAAACCGCTGAAATATCAAAACTGCTGAAATGCCAAAACAAACTGCCATCTACCAGATTCAATTATATAATATGTAAAAATTGTACTGCACAATTGTAAATTAATTAGATTATTAAATAATCCAAAAAAAACCAAATATATATGAAATCAATAATATTTTATTTTTATTTAAACAAATTGATAAATTAAACAATGCAAAAAAATAAAAATATTTACACAACAAAAAAACAAATTAAATTTATTCCAAAAATCTATAGTCATATTGTTTTCTATTAAAATGCTTTATATATATATATATACATATATTTATGTATAATGAACATGAATTTTGAAAAAAAAAAATATATTTACACCTCTTCACTAAGAAATTCACCTAATAAGTCATCTATATTGTAATCTAAAATCCTTTTTCCACCCTCATTGGTCATATTGACATTTTCATATTCATCAATATCACTATTGTCATAATCATCTAATACATCTTCTGAGATATTGCCAATTTCCTTGATTATTAAATCATGCAACAGATCCACAAATTTTTCAATCCATACATTTTCAATCAAAACAATACAATTATCTTCAGGTATTGTTTCACTATTTATGAAAAAGGAAGTCTCACCTTCACCTTCACTTTCATTGTCATTATCACCTGTCTCAGCAAATGCTTCTGAAATAGATATATTTATTTCAGTGTCACTTAGACAAGTTTTCTTATTATTTAATCCATAAAATCCAAGTTCTGTCTTTGCATTTGATTTCCAGTACATGATGATTTTAGACATGGATTCTAGCCATTGTAAATTGAGATTCAAATGTCGTTTATGACATCAGGAAAATGGGTACAAATATTATGCATATATAATACGCAATTGCAGGGATTAAGCATATCCCTTCGATATTCTCGCAGCCAAATTTGCCTGCGAACTTTTTGAAATCACATTACCTCAAGTAAAAATACTTTAATTTTAGTTTGTGCACCAGAATTTTTTGATTTTCTTATTTCTTGCCTTTTTGGAAATTTTTAAACTTAGTTTTAAATCATCTGACCATAATGACATCATGACAAATCCTTGTGATGGTGAAAAGAAAAAGTAAAAAACCCTTTTGCCGATCATTTTTCTGAAGAATAATTTTTTTTAAAAAAAAAAAAAATTTTTATAAAAAATGAATGCAGTCTCATTTTCTATAAAAAGGTATTTTTTTGTAAATATTTTTATATAAAATAATAGTTATTTTTGTAAATATTTTTATATAAAATAATAATAGTAATTATTTTTGTAAATATTATTTTTTTTTGTTCGCAGGCAAATTTGCCTGCAAGAATATCCGTCCACATTTTCACAATTGTTTGTGTAATAGTATACAAAAAAAAGGGTACTAAACCAGTTTTCTGACCTTAATGAAAGACGTGCTATGTATTAAAATATACATATTCTGTATTGGTTTTAATAGGGTAGAAGCAATAATTAAAAATTATCACAAGGCGTGAGGTTAAAAAAATTTTTTTATTTAAAAAAAAATTTTACATTAAATTTTCAAAAAAAAACCCCCCCTTTTTTTTGTTGAAAATACCCAAAAACTTTTTTTAAATCATAAATTTTGAGTTTTAACTATTTAGGATATAAAAAAAATAATAAATTTTAGTTGAAAAAAAATATTGTTAATTAGTGGTGAAAAAGTGCATAGTTTGCAGGCAAATTTGCCTGCGATGATCTACATCAAGGGGATAATCAACTTAAAATTTGGAAAGTCAAAATTCCTGATGCATAGCTATGAAAAATTGGCTAATCTTGCCCTCCAAGACAACTGCAATGAACTCCTACCAACAAGAAGGATTGGAAGATATTTTATAAAAGAGCCTATTGAAGTGCACATTCATATAATTATTTTGCCACTGACATCTATAAAAAAAGAGAGGAATTAGGAATTTATTCAATTTAATAACTTCTCAAAAATTCTCATTTAAAAATATACTAATGTAATAAATCACACCAATTTTACATCTTGTATAAATTTTTTGATTTACATAAATCAAGGTTTTTTAGAAATTATCAACATTTATATACCTGTAAAAATTATGTAAATCAAATAATTATTTAACAATGTTAAATTTAATTATAAAATTACAAAAGTTATCTTTATTTCATTTGAATCTAGATTCTTTAAATAATAAAATTAAAAATACAAATATGAATCATAATGGCAATAATAAATAAATTGTATGGGAGTTTATAGACTTCTCAAAAAGTACAATCATAATTTAAAGATAACCTCCTTAGATGTAAATAAATATAAAAATAATGGAAATGATGCAATTATATTCAACAATACAAGATAATAATATAGATTACAGCCAAAATCCTAATAAAAATATCAATGATAATGATAATGATAATATCACAAGAAAACACAATCCCAATTGCCAAATTAACATATTTTTGTCAACCATGATTTGCTGCATGATAATTCCAAATGTATTGAATTTCTTAATAAAGAAAGTTTAAGTCATTTATCAATTTCCTATTATATCACATTTTGATATTATTAAAGTATATACAATGATCACACAAAAAAAAATTGCTTTCAATTTTATAATATATATGTATTATGCCTTATGCCTTATGCTTTGTGCCTTATGCATTTATTTTGTATATATATATATTATATAGAATTTTGCAAGAATTAACATCGCTTATATAGCATTTTCAAAAAAGCCTTTAAAAAACCAATTTTTGCATGATATTGTCACCAATTAATTTTGGGAGAGTGTGTTTTAATTGATGATAACAGATTTTTATTAATTTATGTGGATCAGAATGAATAGGCTAATACTAACGAATTAGAT